AAAATGATCTTCTTAGAAATGTAATACAAAGCTAATCTGTTATACAGATAGCGCAAAATGAAGATCTAAACTAAAAGTGATCTAAAGGAAGATAATCCAATCAAAATTGTTACATATTAATAGAATTTATGATTACTTATTCATTCAAACTCTTTCAAAATATCATCAATATGCAAATCAAAGAGTAAAAATTATCTTGAAAAATATTGCTTTAGAAATAATTATTACAACAATATCTAGTAGAAGTATTAATTATAATATATTTTAATTTGATCAAGAAATAGTAGATGCTATTATAACTATAAACTTAATAAGAGAGAAACTATTTCTTTATAATAAACTTAATCATGTTATGACTAGAAATATATCATTATAATATTAAAAGATTATCAGTAGAGCTAGTAAATTATTTTATCATATTTCAAAATAATCAATTTTAAGCTTGAGAAAGTTATTATCAATAAAACTTAGAAGAATGATAAATAATAACTTTGAAGAATTATTAAGCTTAGTAGAAATCTGATATTTAGCTTTAAATTTTGCAAAATAAAATACTAATGAAGAGAATTCTATTATGATATGAACTTTTAGTAGAATATTAATTAGTTATATATTATTAGTTATTTTATATTATAATATAATTAAATAAATAATTACTTTTATCTTATTAGACATTAACTTTAGAGAATACTATTTGTAGATATTTTTAGAAGATTTTACAAATATAATAATTATAGCAAAATTATTATAGCAAAATTAGTAAAATTATCATAGTAAAACTAATAATATTATTATAATAAAATAATACTATGATATCAGCTAAAGTAATATTTAGATCATAATAAAACTAATATAAGTATCATAACAAAACTAACATAAATATCATAACAAAAGTATTATTTATATAATCTCTAAAATATATAAAAGTGATATATCTTAACTAGTGAAATTAGATAGTTTAGTACAATTTAATTAATTAGTTAGTTAATTAATTTAATTGAGTTCTATAAATTTAGTTTTCAATTCATATTTAAGTAGAATATAGTTAAAGAAAATTCTAAAGAATATTTTTTGTAGAATAAATCTTAATTAAGATTTATTATCTCATCTTGTTAATAAACTAATTATTATATCTATCTTGAAATTATATTTTAAAATTAGACTATATTCTAACTAATCACATCAAGAATCTATTTTTAAATAAATCTTGATAAATCTTAATATAATAGTATTTATATTCTTATTAATAAACTTTTAAAGACTCTTTCAATATTATTATAAAGCATGTGATTACTTTTATCATATGTTTTTGATATATTAGAATTAGTACTTACTTCTCATATCAAACTTGTATCAAAAAGATAATAATATATATCTTAATTTTATTATTAAATCAAATCAATTTCAAATTTAGATAAGAAAGATATAATTTATAAATCTAAATATTTTTAATCATATTTTTTATAATATTAATAATAAATTAATATTAAGTAAAAAATATAAAAAGTTTTAGTAAAATTACATAAATAAAAAGAATAAAATTTATTAAATCAAAATAAATTAGAAAAATATTATTAAATACTTGACAATTAATTTTTAATAATAAGTAAAGAAGTAAAATATCAAAAAAATAAAAATCTATTAATAAAAATTATAACTATTATTCATTATTAATTCTTTAACATCTCTTTTAGATAATTTATAATAATTATATTTTTAAAGCTTATCAAGTTAATCTCATGATAATTTAATAAATATCTTTCAAAAAATTAGAAATATATTATTTAAAAATATTATTAATACTAATAAAGAAGAATAATAATTGAAAAAGTTATTATTTGAAAATGTTATTTATTATATTTTTAAAACTTATCTCTAATATTCTATAATATTTCACATAATTTATAATTTTTTTTAATTATATTATTAATATATTATATAGATTTTTGAATTTCTTATTTATTATCTAGATCTTATATTTTTGTGAAATGCTTAAATCTTGCATATATAAATCATATAATGTTTAAAAGTAAATCAATCAAATTACAAGATTAATATATAACTAAAAAATTTAAAATTTTTTGATAACTTGCATAATAATCCCATCAAGACTCACTTAAAATTACTTAAAATTGATAAATAATAGTTCTTATATCTGACAAACAATTTTAATTAGTCATTCAAGACATGATTATTAGGCAGAAATTGCTGAAAACACTTTATAAAGTTCATTTATAAAAATAAAAAACAATTTTACAATGAAAAATAATAATAATTTTATCAAGATTCATTTAAAATTACTCAAAATTGGTAAATAACTGCTTTTATACCTGATGAACAACTTTATTTAATAACCAAAAAAATTTGAAATTATAAATTAGCTTATTAATTTAAATCTAATTGCATATGAATATAAATAATTCGTAAAAGAATAAATAATCTATATATATATGTATTCTATTATTTATAAGTCAAAGTTCAATTGCTGTAATATATTCTGTTTTTCCAAAATTGAAATGGCGTTACGATGATGTTTCCAATTCTTTTTGATTGTAATTTTCCGCCTATAATAAAAAAACTTAATAAAATAAAAGGAAAATTTAAAATATCAAAAGAATAATTGGAAAAAAGGTTATGTTCACCTCAATAATAGCTATTGAAAATTCGGTTATTGGTTTTATGCACCAGCGTGTTGGATGCCAAAAATTAGTAAACCAACCAAGATGTCCTCCATGTGAAGTTGTAGCTAAAATCACGTATGGATTAAACCTTTATCGGACATTAGAATAAATTTAAAAGTAAAATTTTTTGAGTCAATAGTAATCTAAATTCAACTTAACATATCAAAAAAAAATTCTACCTGCATTCATCATATGGAACCCACTCTCGGGCTGAAACTGGATCATCTTCAGCTTGGAGACAAAGTAATGGAACTCGAACCTTAGTTACAAAACGGGATGAACTAGCATCTCGATAATAATCATTTACTGTATCATAACCAAATATTATACGCGTACATCTGTCATCAAATTCCCGAATTGAACGTGCCTGTTGTAAAGAATGAAGATTAATAAGATATTAATTTTGTTTTTTCATAATTAACTTACCGACATAATGTAAGCAGAATCAATTTTTGGGTGTTTTTTTAGGATGTGTTCATGCGCGGCAAAACTATTTTTAAGGTTATTTGCTAAAGATGCAGAATAAATATTTTTTCCTATAATTTTATTTTCCAGTGATACATTCGACCTGCCATAAAAATTTTGACGGGATCAGTTATGCTATTTAATTATGTTATTTTAATTCTATAAACTAACCCAAGAATATCGAAAGGATTTCCAACAGAAATCGCACCAATAAATGGTGCATTTTTTCCTTCCTCGCC